ACAGATTCTCATGTTCCAGGCTGGTCTTAAACACTCTATGAAGCTGATGAAGACCTTGAACTTCTGATCCTCCTTCCTCTACATCCTATGTGCTAGCATTACAGGCATGTGACACCATGTCTGTTTTTATGTCATGCTGGGGACTGAACTCAAGGCTCTGTGCATGCTAGGCAAGCACTCTACAGCTAAGCCACACCCCCAAGCCTAGAACAGTTCTTGTAAAAAGAATCTCCCTACAGTGGTACTCATCAAATGTGGTATAAGCCTGTAATAAACCAGTAACTCTAAGACAAATTCCTTCACTTAGCATAGTTCCCTTCTTGCTGCACAATGAATCTTGCTGCTCTGGAGGAAACACAGCAAAAAGGGGAAAAATGGACTTGATCCCGCTCATCTCTCACCTGTCCACTGAAAGAGAGAATCTGCTGATGCCACGCGTCCTCAAAGAAGTCAGCAAAATGAAGATTTACTTAACGTACTTATAGTTATCAATAGCAATAAAAAGTTACAGCTAATATGCTGACACTGAACGTAAGCATTTTACAATCCATGAGGTAAACAACGGGAGCAACAAAGGAAGAGGGGTAACAACATTTTAGATATAACACATTTTTAAGGAAAAAAGAACATTCTAAAACAAGTCAGATGCACATTATAATCAATTCAAGATGAATAGTAGGATAAATGTAAATCTGATGCTCAAAAACAACAGCTTTATTTTACATGTCAAAAAACAATAGAAGCTTGGAAAGAGACAGCTTCTTCTAGAGGTAGCTTGTCTTAAGGAAAATATAGTCCTTGTCTGTGAAGACCACGTGAAAATTAGAGATGCTACATGCAATTAAGAATTTTACTATACATGTGTTATTAACAGGGATAAACCAGAGAATCTCTTCCTCATGCCCATACAGTTTGTTTCATTTAATGTGACTCAGAATCTTAGAACTCATTAGTTTGAAGCTGCAATACTCCAAAACAACTGGTTGTTCTTACATCTGCAAAACAGAGAGAGAGAGAGAGAGAGAGAGAGAGAGAGAGAGAAATCCAGCTTTCCTACCATGTGAAGTTGTCCAGACAGTTAATGGCAAGTATCCCACCTACCCTTCTAAGTCATTTCTCCTCTGCACTAGCCATCCATTTCCTGGTTTTAGTTGTCTTACCATCTTGATCTAGCTCTTCTACACATTCCACTTTTAAAATGAAGTCACTATTCCAACTGAATATAGAGGTCAGAAATAACCCAAGTAAGCAGCACTAACTAATTTCCCACGAGCATCCTGGAAATTTCCCCACAATGGGAAAGGGTTCATCACTTATAATGACGCTGGAAGAACGAGGTCTCTACATCTAGAAGAATGAAAGCCACGCACAGTGGACAAAACGCCCAAAGTTAAGCTCTCCTCCCCTGAAGCTCCATAGAGAAAGCTCACTCGACATTAGCCTTAGCATTGATTTCTTGGATATCTCACAAAAAGCTAAAGCTGTAGATGTAAAAATAAATGATACTGCATCAAACTAAAAATCTTCTGCATAGCCAAGCAAATGATATATAAAGACAGCCTATGGGCTGGGAAAATTATTTGTCAGCCATACACTTCACAAAGGGCTAACCTCCCAAACCTAATTAAAAACAGGTCCTAAACAAACATTTCTCCAAAGAAGACATTTTAAAATGGGCAATTGGTACATTAAAAGGTGCTCAGACTCTCTAATCTCAGAAATGCTAATCAAAGCCACTCTATCACTTCAGATAACTGTAGGATAGCTTTTACTAGAAAGACAAGGGATGAGGAGAGCTGTGATGGGTCTGTTGCATTATCTCCTTATATGTGCAATAGAAAAGCAGGAAATGTCAAGTAGGCAAATATAATAAAGCAGTAGCTACTAAACAGGGTGTGTGGAAATGGTTAATGCAGGTCACAGGACACAACGCAGCAGATATGAAGGAATAAGTGTTCTAAAGAGCTCAGGGACAAAATAAGGACCATAGCTACTAAGAGTATATTCAATGAATTGTAAGGATTTTTGTGAAAGAGCAGATTAATTATGAGAAAATGAACAATTCTGAGAAGGGATGCGTATCTTCATGTTTCACTATGGTAACCACTTTATGAATATATATGAATATATATATGAATATATATGCTTCTCATAACATCATGCTGTATACCTTAAACACACAGTAGAAATTGATTTTTATAAATTTTTATAGTTACTACTCTGACTTTGTTACTGACCATCTATCATATTCCACTCATAATGCTAAATGTTTTAACATCTGGATGTCTATAACACAGAATTTAAACATTTCTAACCCCTTAGGCCAGAAAAATGAGGTATAGAGGCTGAATTTAATGGTTTCTAAAATATCTCTGGTCCCTGAGTTCCCTGAATATTAATTAAATAGCACTAGCAAAGCAATGTTGTGACACCCATACTAAAAACCTGTGTCGAGATCCCGATTTCCTATATCTAGAGTGCTAAAAACATACTTGGCTACTCTTCCAGCAAAATATTAAATCTAAGAATATTTTTTAATGTGGAATCCACTCAAATATACATAGTTGGTAAATGGGGGAGTGTCCCCTCACGTGCCTCATTAAAACAACATAAATCATCAACCAATAGAGCTGGCCCAGAACCTCAAAAACCGATTTCATATTTTTTACACCAGAAAGAATGCAGTGCCATAATGTGAAAGTTTCAGTGGTTGGCACCAGTTGAGAATGTGTGCTTCAGGACTCTGTAAGGTCTAACATCAGCATTAGCACAAACTACCTGAACACAGATACGGCCTCAACACATTTACACTTCCATCCATGTTATGTAAGCAATGCATGGTAGACCTCAGATATTAGCCCAGTATGGGTGCTTAGCTCCATTCTTTGACCAATCCTTCTGCTTAATGTTCTAGAGACAAAGAAGTAAACAGAAAGGCCTAAATATGCAAATACAAGAAACAAGACTGAACCATGACAGAGGTTACAATTAAAGACTGCATGGTTTTCAACATTTTTAGCCTCAAGAAATCTCTTATTTGAATCATGAAAACATAAGCTAAAACTGCCTTGTTCTCTATGTAACATAAGTCTCACCAAAACAGCCCACAAATAACGTATGAGTTTATGTATATGAGACAGGAGTAAAATTGAGATGATCAGAGCAATGTGGGGATAGGGAGTTATCAGTAGGTAGACTTTCAGTGTGTACGGTGGTGATGGCTGTACAGCAACTTGAATACACTTAATCTAACTCAATCACACACTTAAAAATGACTGAAGTTGTGAGCTTCATGTCCAACTAAAAACTCCATGCTGGTTTGGCTTAGGCAAAGGTGTTGGGCTAGAAGATACCCACTGACACAAATGTATAGCCACTCAAATTCTAGGCAGCAAGCTTAACAATAAATTCAGTAATTTACCTTTCTTTCCCAAAGCAATCTCTCGAACTCCAATCATCTATCTGAAGGACTTCCCCTATGACCTGTGTTGGCCCTGAGGTATTCATCAGCTGCCCAAAGCACAGATCAGACTGATTACTGCCATCCTCAAAGAACCGGCAGTGGTCTCCCAGGCCCAGACTAGATCAGATCTGAATCCCCAGCAAGGCAGACGGGGAGTAATTTCTGACACCAGGAGACTTCTAGTCTCTCCAGCCCCTACACAAATCTATACCACTCTAGGCAATCACTGAGAATCACATGCTCATGTCTCCATGCTAGAAGCGTAAAATGACAGGTAGGATTTAGGTGTGGCCTACAGATGTGTTGTTTAACCTAGAGGATGGTTTTCAGAAACATCTCTATAAAAGTCTGCATTTCCAATGTAAAAATCACATTACATCTACATAGTATCTGTATTTCTGCCTAACTTCAGTTGGACTGAGCAGCAATGCCAGGATGGAGGACATTTTACCCCTCAACACCATTTCCAACCCCACGTAGGTCGTGGACACTTGCCTTGAGTTTGTGATGCCCAATTGAGATTTTTCCTTAGGGTATTCCCTCCACTTAACCCTGGCTCAATTCCACAAGGATCCTTACGGTTTTCCATCTTCAAGTCGTGTCTCTGGAACTCAGTGGGGAAGGTGTCACAATGCTTCAACATGAGCTTCACTGTCATGACCCTAAGTTCATGGTACCAACCTGAGATTTAAAGGTAAAAAGCACTGGCTTTTCTAAACTTTCACTTTCCTTAACAGCCCAACCTTGGTTGCCCTGGCCAAGCCTGGATCTGAACGATTAATCTTTGTCTAATTTATAACTATTTTATCCTAACCACTTTAGTGGATTTATTTCATAACAAAGCTTAGAGAATAAATTAACAGGCAAGGAAATGGAGGCACTGAAGTATATACAAACCTGATTTTTATTTTATATGCACATTGATA